TGTGAGGATTGTTAAATTATTTTTATATAAAATAATAAAACAAATAAAATAGGGATATTTTTTTTTCAGGTCCCTGATATTAAGATTTTACAGTATAAAGGACATCAAATATTCTCATAATGTCTAAGGTCCCTCAACAATATTTTCATTATGTTTAAGGTCCCTCAACCTTGATCCAGAGAAATTTCAGTCCAGAGAAAATTGGTCTAGAGAAATTCTGGCCCAGAGAAATTTTCTCTGACCCAAATATTTCTCTGGAAAGTCTCAGAATCTCTCTGGTCCAATTATTCTCAGAATTTCTCTGATTTGAGGAAGGAAGGGAAAATAAACGATCATAACAGTAAACTCACATCCAATATAAGGGTATTTGAAAACTGAGCATACACAAAATTATTGCATTGAGTAAAATCAAGAAACAAAATTCAGTTCTTTTGAAATTTCTCTGAGTTGAGAATTTCTCTGGACCAAGGAAGAATTTCTCTAGACTCACTTTAACTCAGAAATTTTTTTTGAAAGCCAGAGAAATTTTCCTTACCGGCCCAGAAAAATTCACTCAAATCAGAGAAATTCCCCATCTCCAAATCACTCAACCCAGAGAAATTCACAACTCAAAAATTTCTCTGGTCCAAAACCAGAGCAATTCTCTCCAAACCGGACAAACCAGAGAAATTCTCTCTATTTACAGTAAAGTTGTATTTTTATGAACAGAACTTGGTGATTGTATATTGATCTAGGAAATTTCTCTGACTTCACAAATTTCTCTGGCTCTATTACAAAGAATTTCTCTGACTTACTGAGGGAGACGACGGAACTGCTCACAGTCCTTTGACCCAGTTTTGTTGAAGTCTGTAACTAGACTATTCATCATTCTAGCTATTGCTTCCTTGAATTCACTAGGTTGGTTCCTTTCTACCTTATTATTAGTATCTTCGACGACTTATTTGACCACAGACCCAACTTCAACACCCTCCATATAAGCTTTACATGCTGACAGAATGTCATGTGCTTGAAGACGAAAATGCCCAGCAACCCAGAGGTCGACACGTGTACGATTTCGGAGACGTCTGATTCGTCCCACCTGCCTTCTCTCAACTCCGATCTGATCTGGTCAATGTACTCGTCGACCCATTTTGGCATTTCGGATCTGGGCATGTCGAAGTACCGTTCTGGGGACGAGGAGGAAGAAGACGATGAATTGAGGTAGCCAGTCAATACAGCTCATTTTTCATACTCATAATCAATATACACAGTATTTCTCTGAGATTGGGGAAGTTTGGAGAGGATTCGGAGGAGAAGCTACATGGTTGAGAGCTTCCTTGTTCCTGAGCCAGAGTTGAGACCAGCTCAGAGATTTCTCTGGTGAGCCAGAATTGGATCCCGATTTCACCGATAAACGATTCGAACATGGAGAATCTTTATCTAGTCAACGCCGCTCCGGCGAAGATCGAGTCGATCGATGTGTCCCTAACGGAAGAGCTGAGTGCGATCTGCCAGAAGATCGAACGCCTGAGATGAGATTGGACAGAGAGATGACGGAGAAGATGCCGAGAGAGAGGCATTTGGTGATGGAAACGAATTTGAAGGAGATGGTGAAGAGAAGTGAGGTCCAAAAGCTGCTTGAGATCGAGGTTGATAGGTTGTTTCGGGTAGAGAAATGTTTAGGGACCTCAGATATCAAAAAATAATTTTATGGATCACTTCCATTATGAAAAGTGGGAGAGGGACCCTAGACCGATTTTCCCAATAAAATAATACAAAAACATTAAACATTAATATTCCAAAAAAAATAAAAATGCCCAACATTTAAAAAATAAAAAATAAATAAAAAATTTCCAAAAAAATAAAACAAATAAAACAATGATTTTTACTTAACAAAAAATATAAAAAATTAAACATTAATGTTTTATAAAAAATGCCCAACATGTAAAAAATAAAAATAAAAAATAATCTGGCAAACTATTTTTTTAATACCAAGTGCTAGAAGCCCATTCGAATCCCCTCCCCAAGAGGATTCATAATCCGGAGGGGATTACGAATCCCCTTTATATCTCCGTAGAATGAAAGGGATTCATAGTGAGGAAATTGATATTGAAGGAATCAAGTAAAATTGTATTTATTTTGATGACAATTGTTGGTGTGGGGATTGTTAAATTATTTTTATATAAAATAATAAAACAAATAAAATAGGGGTATTTTTTTTCAGGTCCCTGAGATTATGATTTTATAGCATAAAGGACACCCAATATTTTCATAATGTCTAAGGTCCATCAACAATATTTTCATAATGTCTAAGGTCCATCATCTACATGTCTTCGTTGTACACAACCAAATCATCTTATAGCCTCTTCTCCATCAACTTACCTTTAATTTGTACTACTAATACTATTTCATGAATATATTCATTTCTAATTATATCTTTCTTAGTTTTACCACAAATTTATCTAAGCATTTTCATTTTAGCTGCACTCTTTTATAAACATGTTTCATATTATTTTGTGTCATTTAGGGAAAAAAGCCAAACAAAATCACATACAAGGGCAAACAAGTAAACTTCCAAACATCCAAATCAAGGAAATACAACATACCCAAAATAAAAAAGACTAAGTGGTTTGAAAGAAAACTTCTAGGAGTAAATGGAACAACTTTCTCCAAATAGGATTTGAGTAATTTTTCCTAAAAATAATGACTTTTAATTTAATTTTATTAACCAAACGAATTTATAATTTTTTTTAAAAGAAAATAAAAATATATTTGATTTGTATATATGCACAGATTGAATTTGTGTGTTCTTTTATTTCCTTTAAAAGAAATTATAAACTCGTTTGGTTAATAAAACTAAATTAAAAGTCATTATTTTTATATGATTCTTTTTTGGAATGAAAATTGTTTTTGAGAAGTTCAAAAATATATAATTTGTGTTTTTAGTTTCATCAAAATAATTTTTGTATTGAAAAAATAATAATTTGAAAAAATAACAAAACATAGTAATTACTTTTTATTTATTTTAAATTTTTATCAAATATATTTAATATTAGTCTCATTTTATGGGTATAGTTCCAATGATATTAATTTTATAAAAATTAAAATTTTATATTAAAATTATATACATATTATGAAAATAAAATCAAAAAGATTAAAATAATTATTTTTTATGTTTTATTAAAAATGTGATATAGAGAGAGAGGGTGTGATTTGAAATTTTTTTTGGATTAGAAATGTGACAAAGATAGAGAGTGCCATGATGGGTGTGTGTCAGTGACAAACGAGGGAGAGAGAGAAAGGGAAGGATTGAGAGTGTCTGTGCAATGAGTATGTGTGTGTTAGTGAGTATGTTTTTTTATTTTTTTTTAATGAAACGGATCTGAGCCGTTTATTTATTTGTAGGTGATCTAATCCGTTGCCCGGAGGATGAGCTGGAGAGAGAAGTTGGAGAGGATCCGGACTCTCTTTCCTCACCCACACCATTGCAACTCGTGTTTACCTACCGCTGCTCCTGCTCCTGCTCCCTTCACCTATGTTGGAAAAAATAGTTTAATATAGGCATATTTTTTAATCCAAAATTAAGTGCGCCCCGAACGTATTTTGAGGCGGGTCCGAAGAGGTAAAATGTTCCTTGCCGCGTGGCAAGTCACACGGTGAAGACGGGATGTCAAAACCATTTATGAGTGAATGGGAAGTTGACATCGTTTTCGAGTCTAACATTAAATTTTTTAGATAAAATTCATTTGAATTTTTTCAATAAAAATTATTGTGAGAATTTAATTTAATTCTAAATTTATTTTTTGGTTTCCTTAAGTGGTTTCTTAAAAATGATTAAACTATTCAACTAGTTATATATATATATATATTCAAATAGTTTAATATATATATATATTTCAATAGTTTAAATAAAAAGTTCCATCAGGTTTGACTATTCCACCAACGGCTCCAACTGTACTATTTTCAATTAATTTGGAAAATATGTTCCAAGTTGGAACGGTCAAATCAAATGTTTGAATTAGTGGTGCACCTGTTCAGTCTATACTACACCTGTTCATTACATGTTTTGTACTTGTTCAGATCATTTTGTTTGCCTATAAATACAATTCATTCCAGCAGTGTTGGGATTCGAAAAATTCAGTCTCCAACTTTCTATTTGCTGTCCAAACTATTTTTGTTTGCATTTCTCTACATTCTAGTTTTAGAATTAAAATAAAGAGAGTATAAGAACACAAAGTTTTAGTTCGCCGTACAAATTTGTGTGGAGTGCTACTACAAGTTTGTGAAAATCATTGTATCCTGGGAGATAGACGCCACTCAATCGAAAGCACCGTAGCGGGGCGAATCTATCTTAAGGACAGAGTGTCACACACTCAACTTGGTCTTTAATTATTGATTCGGTTCAACAAAATAATTTCTGTAAGCTTATTTCATTTTGTTTGAATTATTTTCAATTTATTTTATTTACAGAGAAGATTATTCCAACAACCTACACCCTCGCAACCCCCTCTCAACACCCAACCCTACCATCACCACCTCTTCTCTCAACTACTACAACCTCAATATATATATATATATATATATTATATAATGAAATATGAGATTAAATTAGAAATGAAGTTAAAAATTAAGTGATTATACATGGTCAAATTCAAAGTAATTGTTTAATAGAAAAAATAGAAGGAGAAAAAAAAAGGGGAAAAAAACAAAAAAATAAGGTTTAATAAAGTCATTTTTTGGTAACAGTACTAATATTACAATTTAGTCCAAAATTACATAACTATTAATGTCTATTTTTAAAAGATAAAAAGACTTAATTAAAAAAGTAAAATAAATTTAATCCTATTTTTTAAATACTTTCTATTACTCTATAACATTGATGTTGTTCTCATATTCAAGAGACAAGTTATTGTCCCTGACATCCTAAATAAAGAATTCATTTTGTTTTTATCGTCTTTCATCATGCATACTATTGTTCTCCGAATTTTTTGGATAAATCTCCCAAATTACAACTCCATCTCCAATCTCCATATATAATTAAGGTCTGAATTCATTCAGGCATTTACCCGCTCCTTGTTTTTTTAGGAGGAGACGGCCAACACGTAACAATATTTTCTTGAACTCCTCCTATCTATTGGGAGCGGGACAGGAATTGAAAGAAAAACAAAATGTCGAAAACTTGTATGTTGTTTTGTTTTACAGTTGTTTTGTTTTGTTCAAAAACAAACGCACATTTTGGGATCTATGGGCTGAAGAGAGGAGATATCTCCGTCAATCTCACCAATAAGGGTGCCACCATTATCTCTCTTTTTGTCCCTGACAAAAATGGTATACGCAATGAAAATGATCACAATCCTATCAGTGAATCACTCATTTATACTTTCCAGATTATCTAACAAAATTCTTTATCTTTCTTTTCTTTTTATTTGTTCTTTCTAGGAAAATTGGCCGATGTTGTTCTTGGATTTGATTCTATTGAGCACTACATGGTGAGATAATGGATGTTCCAATCTTTTTTGGTTCTAAGGCGAAATTTTAAAATAAAATCTTTTAATATTTAAAATATTCGTTTTAATAAAAAAAATTTATTTAAATATATATATATATTTTTGCTTTTTCAAATGCAAAATTACTAATTAAATTTTTGTAATCAATTTTTCTTGTTTCTCGGAGGCAAATCTTTGCTTTAGAGAGAGAGAGAGAGAGAGAGAGAGAGATTGGTCTTGGTTTTAACTTTTTCCATAAATCTGCTCTCTTCAAGTCCCTCATTTTTTTGCCAACAGCAAATGATTCACACTGCGCCCTTTCTCCCCCTAAAAAACGCAATGATATAGAAACATAATTTATATATAAAACTATCATAAAAACTATGGTGATCTATTTATATTTGTTTATTAAAAATTAAAATGTTCACACCACTATTACATCCTTTTTTATGGGTTTTTTTGCAAAAATAAATTGTATGTATAGTATTTGGAAAATGTTACAAACAATTTCATTTGTTATTGTATTTTTTTATTTTATTTTTTATTTTTTTGTTTTATCTCTAAGTACAAATGAGTTGGTTGTAACATTTTAATAAGACACAAAAACAACTCTCATCGCTTTGTTGTATTTATTTAATATATATATATATTTGATAAACATGTCATTTTTGTCCAGAGATATTTTGGTGCCATAGTTGGACGTGTTGCCAACAGGATTGATGGTGCTCAGTTTACTTTAAATGGAACCCATTATAAACTTGCTTGTAATGAAGGAAGAAACACGGTTCATGGTACATATTCTTTGATTTCTTTTTTATTTATGAATCTTTCCAAAATTATATGTTGATGGTGTGTTTGTTCAATAATGTTGGCTAAATGATTACATGAGTTGGAAAATAAGGAATATAGTAAAACTTTATAAAATATTATTGGATAGACACCCAATTACATGGGTCTTGTTTGGTTAGTTTTTGAGGAAAAAAAAAATTCAATTTTTTTTTAAAAAAAAATGGAAACTAATTTTATAAAAAAAAATATCAAAAAATATTTTAAAAATTATTTCTAGCCTCCCAAAATATAAAATTATGTAAAAATGAATAATTTTCAAAGTATTATTTCTATTTCCTGAATAATTTTTTTTAAAAATAATCGGTAGTATTACTGAAAACATAGGACCTGCATTTTTTATTTTTTTTAATAACTCCTTTCTTTCCCATCAAAAAATAACTCCATTCTTTGTATTTTTTTAATATTGAACTTGATTATATGAAGGGCAGGTGGGCCGAAAGGATTCAGCGACGTCGTTTGGAAGGTGAAAAATTACAACAATAAGGGGGATTCACCTTGTATTACCTTTACCTATCACAGCTGTGATGGTGACCAAGGTGAGGAATAATATTATATTTGTCCACTCTGTCTTTAGCTGTTTTCTTCTCTGATTATAATTATGCACTTGTTACAAGTCAATCTTGAATAATTAATCAATGTGCATCATTAAACTACATAAAATAACAAACGACTTTCCAATTTTATTAAATGTTGATTACACATTTGACAAAATGATCAATATACATACAACTGGAGGCTCTTACCTAATTCTGTTGTTCTGCGGGATACAACTAGGACAGGTTCAGTTGGATTAGGAGGTTGTCCAAGCTTAGTCCAAACTGTGCTGAGACTTGCCTAGGCTCACGCCAGGCCCAAATTGTAACCTGAAGTTGTCTGTCTAAACCCGATCCGAGTTAAACCCAATCCGAATTGCCCGAATTGTAAATGAATTTCAATTTTTTTTTTTGGTGTGCAGCTACATTATTAAATTATTTAAATTTGACTATTTACATTTTTTTTATATAGAAAATCATTAATACCATCAAAACAAATAATTTAAATAATGTAAAAGAAATGATGCTATAGTAGTCTTTATAATTTATGATTGAAAATAAAAAAAGTAAATTTTTTTGTTATTTATATAGATAATATATATTCAGTATGATTTAATAATCTAAACAACTTTAATATCATACAAAAGCTAATAATTTATATGTATATTTAATATTTTTATATATCTATATATGTATAATTCGGGCTTCGGGTTGCTCGGGTTATTTTAAGTTTTTGTCCAATCCCATTCAAATTTAATTCGGGCTTCTGAATTTTTACCCAAATTCGTACCGAATTTAAAAATATCTTATCCAAACCCTAAAAAAATTCGAGTTAGGTTCAGGTCACTCATGTTGACCCCGCCCAAGTTGCATTCTCAGTTGTTCTAAAAACAATTCTAGGCATTTTGTCTACTAATAAAAATATTTAAAATATATATACTTGTGTGTTTTATTTAACCACTTTGCCTAGTATATATTTCAACAATATTTTTTTTTAAGAATTATTTTACCCTACTTTCAAAACTCTCGAAATGTACATAGCTAAGACAGAACGAGTCAAAATATTTACAATGTTGTCTATTTTATCAAAATTGCATTTTATGATAATATTAGGTAAATGTACGGGGAGCAAATATTCCGGCGTGCCCGTATTCCTTTCTTCCGGGCTCCGTCAATATCCGATCACCTGCGAGCAAATAACTATATATATATATATATATTTTGTTCACATTTATAATTTTAGATGAAATTTTATGTAAAACTTTGAATAATTTTTCATGAAAATGTAACACAATTGAATGAAAATTATTACATGTTGGTAGGCTCTCTATTACAAAGGAGAATGGACTCAATTATGCAATTTATACTTGAGTGATATTATACATAATTTCATTTCTTATATATCTAATTTTTCCCTTCCAAGACATAAAACAATAGAATTACATCAATAAATATATATGGGACTTGTGGGGACATAATTTTCGAATGACAACACATGGCCGAGATGGCACCGAAGTGCCAGCCGAGGTGCCACGTGTCCTGGTCAAAACGCCGAGATAATCTCGGCTTGGCCGAGGTCATCTGCGAAGATATCGGAGTCCGGGATAAGCGGATAAGGGACAAGAGTCCTAGATTGGGAGATGACTTCAGTTTGGATAAAGATAAGACTCTTAGAGAATTTATCCCAATCTAACTGGGAGTCCAAGATTAACATTGAGTCAGAGTCCATTGAAGGTAGGCTTCTATTGGGATTAGGTCAGTGTTGGTTATAAAAGAGAAGCACCATCGTGAATCTAAGGTACGCTTTTTGTATTCTGAATAAGTGAGTTAAGCACTTTTGCTATCCTTGATAGATAACTGACTTGATCGTCGGAGTGCCCCCGGGTGGACGAACCACCGCCAGAATCTTATCTTTCTGTGACTGGTCGTTCGGGCTTAATCTATTCTACCGGTGTTCTCCAACTGAGTACCTGTTTGGTAGTGTGGTCGGAAATTGACATACACAATTTGGCACCGTTTGTGGGAAAGAAATGAGAATAGATGGCCAACGACGGACAGAAAGAAAAGGTTGGGGACGACATCCCTGCTGAGAGTGGAAAGCACATTGACCCTAACGTGGAGGAGGATGACTGCAACGAAAAATCTCGGGATCAGAATCCTAGAGAGAATGATGTCGGCCAGGAGGGCGACGTACCAAAGAAGACAGACTGAGGCAGGTACTACAACGAAAACGACCTCCAGGTATGGAAAGATAGATGCCTGAGGAGGGACGGAGAGATGAAAGGAATGGCGGACAAATTGGAGGACCTGCAAACGGTCGTCAATTTCATGATGCAGAACAACGTCATGCAGCCACCGTTCCCGTTACAAGATACGCCGATTCCAGCTGCCAAGAATAATGCCCAGAAGGGAGGGCAGAAAACAGTCTCTGTAGCCCCCAGCACACCAGGACCAAGGAACATTCTCATCGACCTTCAAGGGAGGTTGGGCTTGGAGAGTCCATGAAGGGAGATTCACGGAGGACGCATCGTACCAAAGAAGGTGACCCAAAAGAACATCGGCATGTTCAAGGGAAGGAACTCTATTTCAATGCAACTAACGAAGAGAGGTCCAGGAGGACTCACAATGACACTGGAAGTAGCGCACCAAAAAGGTTGAAATCTGGTGATAGCCGAGCTCCTAGACGGACTAAGGAGGATTTAAGGGATTACCTCCAGAGGAAGCGACAGGATGCCGAGGTAACCTCTCCGGTCAAGCTGAGAATGCCGTTTTCAGTAGAATTTGATAAATTCGAAGCCCCTAAAAGGTTAAATATGCCGAGATTCCAGATATACGACGATTAGTCGGACCCCAACTTTCACGTTGGCTTGTACCTAAACTCGATGACACTATACACCAGGAACGAGCCGTTGCTTTGCAAAGTGTTCCCTTCGTCCTTCGGAGAAATTGCATTGGACTGGTTTCACAAGTTGCTGAAGGGAACTGTGAAAACCTAGGAAGGCCTGGTCGAGATGTTCGTGGCCAGGTTTGTGACAAACAAGCTATAGCCATTGAGGGTGGACTCCCTAATGGCTCTGAGAATCAGTGAGGATGAAAGCCTTAGGGCCTATGCCAAGAGGTACTATGAGGTATTCAACTGGATACCAAGTTGCAACCAAGAGGTGGTGGTCGTGTCTTTTAAGAACTGCCTGAAAAATGATTGTTTGCTTCGAAAATCATTGGCAAAGACACTGCCAAAAAGTATGGAGGAACTGATGGCCAGAATTGAGAAGTATACGAGGTAACACTGGGTACAACAAGCAAGAGACAAGATTAAGGCTACGCAGGCAATCACAACCGTATTTCGAATCCTGGTTTACAAAGTCTTGGAGAAAATATGAAATCAGCCCTATTACAGAGCACCAGTAAGGGTTCTGGGTGAATTTATGGGAAGAAGCTTAGGCAAGCACTGTGCCTACCACAATGAAGATGGGCATCTGACTTAGGGGTGTAGAGCCCTGAAGGCACATTTGGAAGACTTGGTAAGACAAGGTCATTTAAGGGACCTTGTAGACGAGGTCAGGACAAGGGAAGAGCAAGCAAGACTGCCTCAGGCACCGGCAACACCACCTCCTCCAACAGCACAGTCGCAGGCAGGCGGACCTCGAGTGATCAATGAGATTCACTCGAAGGTCAATGAGAACGAAATACGTGGGGAGACTCAGAAGGTAAAACACTTGCAGCATATGTACCAGGTCTGGTAGAAAGAAACTAGGGCAGACGAGTGCCAAGGACCAGTGGTGTCCTTTACTGAAGACAACCTGGAGATGGTGCAGCATCCACACAACGATGCCTTGGTAATATTCCTCCCGATTAGAGAATGCCATGTGAAGCGCATCCTAATTGACCAAGGCAGCTCTTGTGACATCATGTATGTTAGGTATTACAAGGAGTTTGAACTTCACCAAGATGATCTGGAACAATCCAATGGTCCAATGGTCGGGTTCAATGGAACGCCGACGTGGCCCCAGGGAGCAACAAGTTTGAAAGTGCAGGCTGTTACCAAAAATATGAAAACATAATTCACAATAATTGACACTTCCTCCCCTTACAATGCTATCCTGGGAAGGCCATGACTGCATGCAATGGGAGCTGTTCCTTCAACGTTGCACCAGCTGTTGCGGTTTCCAACAGAGCATAGAATTGAGGAGGTCAGAGGGGATCAAGTGCAGGCAAAGAATTGCTCAATGGCAGCAATGAAATCCACCTGCAACATACGAGAAGCAGAAGCAACAGAGATCTAAGATAACGACACGGAGGTCCTTGAGGACGTCAGTAAGGAACCAGCCGAGAAAAATGAGGAAGCCCTAAAGAAGATCTTAGTCCAGCAAGGGGATGAAGAACATTTTTTTTTCCTCGACTCAGGCTTGGTCGAGGAAGAGGAAAGGGAATTAGAAGCATTCTTAAGAGCAAACCTTGAGGTGTTTGCATGGACATCGTACGAGATACCTAGTATTGACCCTGAGGTCACTTGCCATAAACTGAATGTGGACAGGTCGGCAAAACCTGTCATCCAGCGAGCAAGAAGGCTGACATTAATGTATGTTGAGGCAGTAGAAGAGGAAGTGGATAAACTTCTAGAGGCTAGAGCCATTCGAGAGGTAAATTACCCAACATGGCTATCAAACACGGTGGTTGTGAAGAAAAAGAATGAGAAGTGGAGGGTCTGTGTGGACTTCACTAGCCTGAATAAGGCTTGTTCTAAAGACAGTTTCCCACTCCCCAAAATTGACCAATTGGTGGATGCCACTTTAGGGTATGGAAGGATAAGCTTCCTAGATACTTACATAGGTACCATCAGATAGCTATCTACCCTCCAGATGAGGAGAAGACTGCATTCATCATCCCAAAAGAGCTGTATTCTTACAGAGTGATGCCTTTCGGGTTGAAAAATGCAGGAACAACTTACCAGAGACTGGTGACCAAGATTTTCAAGCAGCTAGTAGGCAGAACAGTGGAGGTAT